TGAGATGTTCGAGGAGATTCTTGGTTCCAAGCGTGACGAGGACGAGAGCGACGACGAAGGTCCTGCTCAGCCGAAGGACAAGAAAGGCAAGGGCAAGGACAAGGGCAAGGACACACCCAAGCCCAAAGACAAGAAGCAGAAGCGGAAGGAGGTGAAGGGTGAAGCAGGGTTCGCGGAAGTCGAGGATTCGTCGTCCCGACTCATTGGGGCAATCCTCACCGGCGTGAACCGCGCCCTTCCGTTCGCGCAGATGCACCTCAGCAGCGACAGCTCAGCCGTGTATGTTGACACATCTCTGCTTGCATGCCGCGACCATGCACTGACTATATTCTCATAGCTTCCAGAAGCATATAGACACGCTCTTCCGGATCACCCACACGTCGACATTCAACATCTCGCTCCAGGCCCTGACGCTCATCCTGCAGATATCGACCACGCTTTCTGCACCTGCTTCGTCAAAAGCTTCCTCGTCCGCACAGCCTTCGAGTTCTGCGTTCTCGACAACCCTCCGCGACCGGTTCTATCGCACACTGTATGCGTCCCTTACCGACCCTCGGCTTGGCACCTCGAACAAGCAGGCGCTATACCTCAATCTGGTGTTCAAGGCTCTCAAAGCGGACCATGACACTGCCCGTGTCGCGGCATTCGTGCGACGGTTCGTGCAGGTGCTCGCCAGCGGTGCGGGCGCCGGTGGCGCCGTCGAGTTCGTCGCTGGAGGCCTTTATCTTCTCGGCGAAGTGAGTATTGCTCATGCCCCACACTATGCCCCCGCATGTGACTGATCGCGTTGTCCAGCTCTTCAACGTAACACCCGGTCTCAAGCAACTTCTCAGCACCTCGAAATCAAAAGCAGCGCCCGCCCCTACCGCGCCGGCGTACGACCCTCGGAAACGCGATCCACAATACGCGCATGCCTTTGCATCCCCGATGTATGAGCTGGTAAGTGCATATGCGCGTTGCCTTTCAGCCCCACGCTCATATCACTTGCCAGCTGCCTCTCCTGCACCACTATCACCCCACAATCTCCTTGCACGCCCGCCAGCTGCTCACCTCCTCGCCGATCACCGGTTCGCCCGACCTCTCGATCAACACGCTCTCGCACTTCCTCGACCGGTTCGTGTACAAGAACCCCAAGAAGCCAAAACCCAAGGGCTCGTCCGCGATGCAGCCGTCGCTCGACAACGCTAGCAGCGCACACGGCGTTACGCTCGTCAAGGGCGAGGCGGCGCACGGGGGCGAGGTGCCCGTGAACGACGAGCGATTCTGGAAGCGCCGCGCGGAGGACGTGCCCGTCGACGAGGCGTTCTTCCACGCGTACTTTGTCCGGAAGAGCGAGAAGGAGCGGCAGAAGGCCGCGAAGGTCGCGAAGCGGAGGAAGGGCGGGGAGGACGGGTCGGACGAGGACCTCGAGGAGGAGGAGGAGGAGGAGGAGGAGGAGGCTTCGGATGCCGAGTTTGGCGCGGACGCAAGCGCTTCTGAGGACCAAGCCGAGGACGTTGAGGAACGCGGGGAGAGCGGAACGGAGAGTGAAGACGGTGGGTTTGACCTGAGCAGTAAGGGCAAGAAGCCTGCTCCTGCTGAGGATGAGGACGAGGATGAGGAAGAAGACAGCGATGCAGAGGAGGCTGAGATCTGGAAGGTAGGTTCCTGCTCCTAGCGTCCCTCTCGCTCCAAGGTCTGACCCCTCATCATTCAGGCGATGAAGGCCACGATGCCGGCGGAGCTCGAAGACGAGGACCTCATGGAGGACAGCGACGAGAGCGACGACGTCCCCTCAGATCTCGACGAGGACGCGGAAGAGGACGCATCGGAGGTCGATGCCGACGAGGATGAGGACGGACCTTCTGACGCCGAGAACGAGGCAGACGACGGCGATGCGTTCTCTCTCGCAGAAGAGTCGGACGCAGAGGACCTGCTTTCTCTCGACGCCGAAGTGCCTATGGGCCTCATCGAGTACGACGGGTCTGACAGCGAGAGTGAAGCCGAGGCGGAAGAGTGGGGCGGGATCTCGTCCGAGCCGTCGAAGAAGGGCGGCAAGCGCAAACGAGACGAGGACGGGAAGAAGGCACAGCGCAAGAAGCTGCGCTCTTTGCCCACGTTCGCGAGCTACGAAGACTACGCGAAACTCATCGATGATGGGCCCGAGGATAACATCTAGTGTGTTCTGTATGCCCTTCCGTCTATATAGCTCGTGCGCGACTACGGGGACCGCTATATGCAGGCTCGCATAAGTCGCATGATGGTTCCGCAGACAGTGATATGCGCCGCCGGAGGGTGAAGTTTGGGCTGATCGGCCAGAAGTACGAGTGGTAGTCGCAGACTGAGGGACTGGGGACTCGTGCAATTCGGGAGGGAGTAAAACATGGTCAGTTTAGTCTCTCCCCGTCCGTTCTGCCGGCTGCAGAACGGATGACGATGACACTACAACAAGACATAGTACGTGGGCATCCAGGCTCCTAATACCAGCCCTCTTACAGAGTACACGCTCCCGAATCCTTGTCAGAGACACGCTTATGGCTACCCTTGTCGGCACTGTGGGTTTTTATGGTATAGCCCATGGGCGCCTGGGCTACCAAATACGGCCATTTGCTGTCCAGCGCTTGCACCAGTCCGTACTCTTGCTCTCCGACCACGACCACCTGTTTCACGCCGGGACGACGATAGCTGGAGGTACGCAGCGCGAGTTCTAGCGTCTCCCAGCTGGCTTTGACTAGTCTCCACACAGCCACGATGTTCGCCAGTGTCAGAAGTGTGGCGACACGGTTTGCGTTCCGTCCTGCAGTTGCAGTGAACGCGCGAAGACTGGCCACGGAGAGCGCATCCTCGACCCTCCCAGGGAGCAGCGCGGCGGGGCCGAGCGGGGTCCTGTCGAGCATCACGCTGCAAACACCAGCGGCCGCCTCCACGTCGACGTCCATCCTCCCCCGCGCCGCCGAGCCCGCGGTCATCCACATCCCTCCGGCCGAGGACCCGCTGCTGCACCTGTTCACGTCGATGATGATGCGGCACGGGAAGCGGCAGCAGGCGTCGCGCGTGGTGACGCGGATGCTGCTGCACATCCACGCGTTCACGCAGGCGGCGCCGATGCCGATCCTGCGCGAGGCGGTCGTCGCGGCGGCGCCGCTGCTGCGCTGCAGGAGCTTCAAGCGCGCGGCGAAGCAGTTCGTGTTCCCGATCCCGCTGAGCGAGCGGCAGCGCGCGTGGCAGGCGATCAGGTGGATCGTCGACGAGAGCAGGAAGCGCGGCGGGCGGCACGACGAGGAGCGGCTCGCGAGGGAGGTGATTGCGATCGTGAAGGGCGACAGCGAGGTGCTGAGGAAGAAGGAGGCCGTGCATAAGCTGGCGGTGCTGCATAGGTGCGTGGTTGTGTGCTTTTTCTGTGTCTTTGGTGGACGGTGTGGCCGACATGTTTGCGCAGAGGGAACGTCGTCCGGCCGCCGAGGGTGCCCAAGTCGAACAGGGGTTGACCGTCGTCCATGGGGTCTTCCACTTGTAAATCTCGTTCTTAATCCGATCCCACTTCTTTTGCTTTCTTGACGGTGTCATGAGTCTGCCCTGTGAGAGGAGTCCCAGGTGAGCCTTGCCCCCACCTGTTGCTTCGATCTACTCGAGAAGCCGCCCAAAGCCGCGGTCTTCGCTCTGGACTAGTAATACGACGCATATGAGCGTGACCTTGTATGCACAGCCGGGAGAAGTCGAGCAGCAGCGTGGACGCGACGAGACACCTTGCAGAACCTCGACACTATCATAGCTCGACGGGTATGTACAGTACACACAACGCGCTTCATATGCAGTCGAACACAGCGAACACGAATCAGTACTCGTACACCGTACAACAAAAAGCACCATCAGTCTAGCAGCGTGCGCGGCCGCAGCTCCATACGTTCAGAAAGATGCACGATGCATCGAGCTAGCCCTCCCAATCGTCATCGTCGTCGTCTCGCCGCGCACGGCGCCCGTGCCCGTTGCCGTTCCGGGCGGGGCCGCCGTCGTAGTCATCCTCGTCATCCTCGTCGGCGTCCATCTCGCGGTCCTCGTCCTTGTCCTCGTCCTCGTCTCTGTCCTTGTCCTTCGGTGCGGCCTTCCTTCGCCTGCGCTTGGGCGCCGGCTTCACTGCGTCCGCGTCGGCGTCGTCGGCGTCGGGATCCTTCTTGGCCTTGCCCTTGCCGCGCTTCTTGCTGCGGCCCTCGGCGTTCTCGGACTCGACGTCGATGGTGCCGCCGGCGGAGGGGTCGGGTACGGCCTGGACGATCTCTTTGAGGAAGTCGAGCATGTCTACTGTCTCGATTGCGTGCTTTCTGTTGACAGGGGGTGGGATGAGCGGCGTGTCGAGTACGGATGCGCGGAGAGACGATGAGGGAGGTGGGCGCAAGTAGGAATGAACGGGGGAGCAGTGGGAGCAGGATGAGGGGATAGCGGGATAGACGTACAGATGGTATGCTTCGACGCGTTTAGACCCGCGGTCAATGGTCACGTTGCTGGCCTCCTCCACAATCATAGCGAGGAAGAGCTCCAGCGCCTTCGCTGCGTCGGGAGAGGGAGGAGAACGCGTCAGAATTGGAGCCGACGCGGTCGAGGACACGGGCGGTACACGCACAGATGACGACGGGGGTGGCCTGCGCGACCTTGCCGACCTCCTCGTCCTTCTGCATGATGCGCTTTATGCGCGCCTGGGAGGGCGGTCGGATTCCCGTGGAGATCGAGGCAGGCCGGAGGGGACGGGGTGCGCGGAGGATTCATCGGGGTGGGAGGAGGAGCTGATTGGTGAGCATGTCGGCATAGGCAGAGAGGAGAAGGGGACGTACCACGGGGAACTTGGTTGCTTTGTTCTTGTTCTTCATCGCGCGGTGGGCGTGGGCAGGCGGGCGGCGAGCAGGGGGGGTTAACTTTACTGAGCCACCCACGCTGCCCGGGATCTCGGGGCTAAATAGGTACTGCGACTGCTGCAGGGGAGAGGTACCTGTAACTGGACATATACACAGAACACAAGGTATTGCTGCACGCCGATGGTGAAGTGGTTATCATGCTTGCCTTCCACTTGAGGTAGCAAGCGGCACGGGTTCGATTCCCGTTCGGCGTATTATACCCTCACAATGAGGTGACTTTTTGCATTTGCTCACCACGATTTCGATCTTGCAGAGCGTGCCGCCGTGCCCTGACAAACGAGCCTTCCACCCACTTCTCAGCTTGACCCACGCCATCAACATGCTCTTGTCTGGCTCTCTCGCACATTCCGGTCGCAGGACGCACTCGATGAAGAGAAGAAAGCTCACTCATCCTCCTCCACCGGCACTTGACATGGTTGCCAAGCCGGACTCTCTGCTGCTGCCCGTCTCCGCGACTGCGAACCACATCAAGGCTGCGCCGGTATGCGCCTCTTGCCACCGCGCGTTCTTTGGGGCGAAACAGAGCCAGCTCGTCGAATGTGCACGGTGCGTGCTCCCATGCTCAGAGTGGTGTTCTCGCTAGAGACTGATCTGCTACTGTATGCGCAGATGCCGTGCAGTGACATGCGTGATCTGCTCTAGGACCTGCAACGGATGCCTGTCGTCTTTACCAGTGACCTCAGCTCCAGCACCGTATGCTGTCGCCAAGCTGTCAATGCCACTCGCATCCTCTAGGCGGCCTGCGCTCGCGTTGCACACGAATACCGCACTCGGAGGGGCGCCACTCCCGTTCGCGGGGCGGAGGAGGAAGATGAGGGATCGGGACTGTGCGGAAGATGACGATGGAGGGTGCGAACGCCTTGGAAACGGGGAGCGAGACTCGGAGAGGGAGAAGAGAGATGACGGGGTGCTGCCCGGGTGCGAGAGGACGGTGTGTCGGAACTGTGCTTGTGAGATACCCGAGAGGTGCGTGCTTGCGTGTGCGTTTTGTCGCTGGCTGGGGCGATGCTGACCGTGTGCGTGGTTGTCGGTGTGGTGGTGGTTGTGTGTGTGGGTTGTGGGATGGGTATTGACGCTTGCAGGGAGCTCACGACGTGCTACGACTGTGCGGCACGACTTCAAGCTCTGGCGCAAGACCCACCACGTCCTTGAACATCCGCAGACAGCCACTATGTCTTCCACAAAAGTCTCACCCACCCATGCATACTCCTTTCTCTCGACATCTATCGCTTCACATCTGTCGCACTGGAACACGGACTGTTCTAATCAATGTAGCTTTCCATCGCATTCGCTGCTGCTCTACCCTAGGTATACCATAATCCTCGCCTTGTTTACTCCCGTCAATCCATCAGTGCTCGGCTCGGCTCACATATCTACTCCATACTTACCATCGCTATGATACTGTTGTTCTCTCATGCGATCCAATGGCCATCGATGGCCAGGTCTGATTCTAATCCTTGCTACACCCACGCGACAGCAGCCAACTCACACACTGACGATGAGACCCTAGGGACCGGAACCCAGCAGACAGTAGGAAACACGCGACGCGTTAGAGGCACGAAACCTGATGCGTCACGGTCATGTGGACGTGACAACCGCGACGCGTCAACAGCGCTATGTAGGCTCTGGCTTCACTCTTCTTCCCTCCATCACTCCCCGAGGGGACGATATCTGGCAATATTGGCGTTGAGAGGAGTACGCTCTGTGAAGTAGCTATAGCCTCGTGGCAAGCGTCGTACGTACCCTGATCCAACCTTTGCGGGTCTGACGGCTGATATGGGCGGTATTGACGTTCGGATGGACCGCAAGGACGAAACGACCATATTTTACACAGTAGCTACTAGCAACACAACAATGGTGTATCAGGGATGAACCTAGTAGTTCACCGGAAGCCTGCGGACGAAGGCGTCTGCCGTTGCACTGCGCGGCTTCACTACACACTCGAACGGCTCGGGATGGCTGCATAGACGGTGAATGTGATGGAATCAGTACCAAAGCGCAAGCCTTGGCGAAATGAGCATACGCACCTGATACCTCCGTCCAAAAACCTGCCCGTGGGGATGAGAGGCTTCCCGTCCTTCAGAGGAGGTGTGACGTCGAAAGCTGCAAGAACTGAAACGGATGTGAGCCACATCGTTGCATCTGCAAGGTGCAATCCTGTTGCGTGAGGCGTATCAGCAATTCTTGGTTACACAAGGCGAGCAGGGTTCTGACACACCTGGACAGATACTGAGCGGACAACGTGGATGGACGAAGTGATGAGTAGATGAATGGGTAAGAGTGAGAGCATTCACTCACCGACGCCCATAGCCGAAGAGATATCTGCGCGGATCGAACTGTTTTTCCGGGCCTATGAACCGTTCCGGCGAAAAGGTCTCTGGATTGGGGTATGTCTCTGCATTCCGGAAGAATCGCCTTTCACAACGAGAGTTGGTGCGTGCAGCTACTGTTGAAGGAGAGACGAACGCACCAGTTGTTCGGGATTACGATCGATCCCTTTGGAATGAAGTATCCGTCATGCACATCGTCTTCACGCGAGACATGCGCCAATCCTGCACGCAGCGCAGCGGGTGAGATGCCAGTGCAGGAAGCACAAGACTCGTCGCAAGACATTCTCACCCAGAGGACCGAATGTGTAGCAGCGCATGATCTCGAGGCAGAGCGCTTCGCAGTAGGGCAATCGCTCGCGGTCGGCGAATGTCGGGAGGCGGTCTCGTCCGACGATGGCATCGATCTCAGCTTGAGCGGCTTTCTGTGCTTCCGTATGAATCGTGATGCCGAGGAAGAATGCCTCTATGGCTGCCACGGTCTGTTGAGCGGACGATCGGTCAGGGTAGCAAGCATGCGGATTGACAGAAGGGACTGACAGTGTCGGCGCCGCCTATGTATGTCGTAATGTGAGCCTACTCACGAGACAATGAACGAGAAAGGCTTGCGTACCGCTATAGATACCAGCAGCAGCCCACTGGATGATACGCTCCTTGTCCGGCGTGTGGCTTTGTCCGTCGAGGTGGCTCTGAGCGAACGAAGGACGGGCAACACCTGCTGCCTTGAGGTCCAAGTCAGTCCATGTGCACATCACTTGACAATTTCGCGATTAGCGTACCATCTGCCGCTTGACGAGTTCGAAGGGGGCCACTAGCATCTCCTCCAGATATTCCCGGTACAGCTTCGCCTTCTGCTTCCATCCGGCGCCAGGGAACCACGCCGGCACGTATCTCACTATGGGGACGTCGTTGAGAGTTAGACCGATGAACGAAAGTACGAGAAGATGAAATGCGACGAACGGATGGGAAAGACGTCGACCAGGAATGCATTGGGTTTCGTCATCTCTGAGAACCCGTCCATGGCGTCGTCGACAACCTTGACGAGTTCCTTGCCGCCCGGGTCAGAGGCTCTGTTGCCGTAAGCAAGCTGAAGCACCAATCCACCAGCAAGCCTACGATGATGCGGCATAAGCTTAGGTGTCAGCTCCGCCACGTATCCAAAAGATAGAAGACCGTACCGGCGTGCGTGCTCGACCCAGTCCTGGGGTTGGGTCAAAAGATGTTTCAGGAAGACATTCGTCTCTTCGTGGATGACATGATTGAATGCTTCGATCTTGGCCTTCGTGCCCATGAAGTACGTGAACAAGCGGCGGTACTCGCTCCAGCGGTCGCAGAAAGGGATCAGGGCAGGACCCTCGTCCCAGCCGACGAGTTGGCCGCCCATGACCAGCTTTGGGCGGTCGCTGTAGAGCAAACCTTTCTTGTCAAGCATCTCAGCCGCCTGCTTGGGATCGTTCAGAACAACGATGCTTTGGCCTAGAACGTTCAGGTATATCACACCACCTGTTCAAGTTGTCAGCATTGCACCATCATAGACAAAAGCCATGACCATACCGTATGTGTCAGCCCATCTGGAAAATGTCTCCCATGGATGAGACTGCGGGAAGTCTACGAGATTACCAACGAGAGGTAGACCTCTTGGGCCTGGTGGAAGGGGAGCGGAGGGACGTTTGGCGGAAGTTGACCCGTAGGCGAGATAGAAGATGATGATAGCCGTAGTCAGTGCGACCATAGTAGAGACCAGAGTGGTATAGCTGTCCATGACGGTGGAAGAGGAGGGGGGAGAGTGATAGCAGGCTCGACGGCTCATATGCTCACTCCTCGCGAGTACACCACGGGATGGGGATGCGAACTTGTGGTGGCATGCGCGGCGACTGATAGTAGACCGGCAAGAGAAAGGCCGTGCAAGGACGCGCGGGAAATCGAATCACCGCTCAGAACTGCAATGTTGGGCGCAACCATGATGCCAACCCGCGAAGAAGATAGAATCCGAAGGGAACCACGTCTGCGCCGTGCGGCTGAGTTCATGTTTGTCGCAGTGGGCGCACTGTGGGAGACGCGTGCGCCGTGACGTGACTGTAAGCGCTAAAGCCTCCTTGGCCGGCGGAGCCCGGCGACTCGCGAGAGTCTCCTCTCTCATACGCGTTGTGCCATCGCTTCCTCATTCATTAAAGTACTATTACCATCAAGAATCGAGGCTCCGGATGCATATATCGAACTCAGAGTGTCCTGGGATGTACCGATATCAGGGCCCTGACATCTAGCGTGACAAGTCTCTGCTGAAGCTGCCAGCCGCCGCCCTCGAGCTCTCTGAATCTGCTGTCGTCACCATGTCCAACCGTCCGGAAACTGAACGTCAATTGACTAAAGGCGCCGAAGAAAGCTGGTCGCGACATGCTGTCCCGGATGAACTGCAGACATCCCCCTCGTCCGTTCGTGTTGACGGTGGCTACTCAGCCTATGCATCCCTCGTCGGCGGGTGAGCAAATGCATCTCAAACTGGCTGACTGTGCATCTCACTCTCCCGGTAGATTCTTCGTTGCGATCGTCACCTTTGGATACACCAACGCTTTTGGAGTCTACCAAGACGTCTATACTCGCTCCGGTACTGCATCCGCCTCCAACATCAGTTGGATTGGTTCTACCCAGCTATTCTTCCTGCACGCCATGGGTCTTCCTGGAGGGATCCTCCTGGACAAGGGCTACTTCCGTAGCACCCTCGCTGTTGGATCTCTTCTTTACGTTTTCTCGTACGTGCTCCTTAAGTGTTTCTTTTCATGTCGCTTGTCGTAAGCTGTCGCTCAGCTTTCGGACGACGCAAGTCAAGTAGCGGTCATTCATCATTGGTGCTCGGGGCCGTGTCAGGC